CTCCCCCTGCTTGTGTTCCCTCTCTTGCTGTGTCTCTCTCTGTCAAATAAATAAATAAAATCTTTAAAAAAAAAAAATCCAAATTTCCAGGTGCCTGGGTGGCTCAGTAGGTTAAGCATCTGCCTTCAGCTCGGGTCATGATCCCAGGGTCCATGGGAGTCCCATGTCAGGCTCCCTGCTAAGTTGGGAGTCTGCGTCTCCCTCTGCCCCTCCCTGCTTGTGTTCTCTCTCTCTCTCTCTCGCTCCCTCTCTCTCTTAAATAAATAAAATCTTAAAAAAAAATGCAAATTTCCCACCTGCCTACCCTACTGCTACTCACAACACACACACTCTCTCTCTCTCTCAACAAGTCTAAATTCAAATTCCGTCTCTCCTTCCATCTAAACTTCCCTTCCACCCTCCACCCCTGAAAAGTATTTTAGAATAAGCCCAAGGGAAAATAATTCCCTATTTTGAGTAATGCATCACCACCTTCAGGTTATCAAAGCCTTGGTATCATCTTGGACTCTCCTTTCTCTCCTTCAATCCGTATAGCCCTGTCCATTCAGCCTTTGAATCATATTTTATATTTCTTTCTATTCCTGCTCTATTTCAGATTCCATTCTCACCCAGCTACAGAAGCATCTTCTTAAAATATAGATCATGTAAACCCATGGTCAAAAGTTCTGAATAGTTTACCATTGTCATCATAATGAAGTCTAAATTCCTAACCACGTGTTCAAGATTCTCCATTATCTAGTTTTCAACATAGCTTTCTAGACTTTTCTCCCCCTATGTTCTCATGCACCCATATTTACACTCTGGCCACAGTGAACTACTTACTCATCATTCCCTAAGTTTATAGACACTTAGCTATTTCTGTTTCTTTACTTGTGCTATTTTATCTTTCTGAAATGCCCTTAAAGCCCATTGCTGCCTACAGAAATCCCACCTGTCTATGGTGAAATGGGCACTTGCATACATTCCAGTGGAAGAATAAATTGTTACAATCCTTCTTGAAAGCAATTCGATAATATGAATCAAAACCTTTTTAAATGTTCACATTCTTTGTCCAATTTTTTCTCATTTCTTTGAAACTATATGAAGAAAATAATCCTAAATATGGGGAAAGCTTCATACCCAATTTATGTAAATTGTAGCATTCATTCTTCTTCTTTAATAGTGAAAACCAGTAAACAACCGAAAATGCCTAATAGGGACAATATTAAACTCTTACACATTCAAGCCCATGTATTAGAAATTATATTTACTCAGACTATTATTAATAACCTGATAAAATACTTGTAATAGATGTTTAAATGGAGAATACTGGGGCACATGGGTGGCTTAGTCGTTAAGCATTTGCCTTCGGCTTAGGTCATGATCCCAGGGTCCTGGGATCGAGCCCCACATTGGGCTCCCTGCTTGGCGGGAGGCCTGCTTCTCCCTCTCCCACTCCTGCTGCTTGTGTTCCCTCTCTCACTGTGTCTCTGTCAAATAAATAAATAAAATCTTAAAAAAAAAATAAATGGAGAATGCCTATAAACATAAAATTTATATACAATATAAATATTAAGTTTAAAATAGCATGCCCAATTTCTATGATTTATGTTATACTAAAGGACCAGAAGGAATTATACCAAATGTTAATAATGGTTATCTTTGTCTACCTTTATGTATTTTCAAAAGTCTTTAACAAGTACCTTATTACTTTTAAAATGAAAAAAAAAAAAAAACCTCACTAAAAATCCTATTCATTCTTCAAAACCTACCTCACATGCCTTCTCCTCCATACCCCATTAATTTACTCAGAATTGTTTCTCTAACTTCTAAGCTTTAGAAATGCTTTATAAATTCTAGCTATTTCTGTAAAGCATGCTCCATCACTAGAATATAAACTTCTTAAAGGTAGAATAGTCCCTTATTCATTTTTGCATCTTCATTCATACCTTGATTCAACAAACATATACTGAGTACCAATCAAATGGCAGAGTGCAAAGCAGATTTGGCAATGAAAAATACAGACTTTCTATCATCCTTCAAGTTACTCATAGTCTAATATCAGGAAAATGGGTAGGTGTATGTACTGACCATTGCAATAGAATGTGATAAACACTAAGATAAAGGGTAGAAGCACAGAGGAGTACTTGGCCTAGCCTGGAAGTCAGGGAAGGCCTTTTAGCTAGGTTATTTGACTGAGTCTTAAAAGACAAGAAGGAATTTGCCACGTG